AATATGCTGACTCTGTAAACCGCTTAGAGAGGCCTGAAAGGCCTATGAAGCGGTATATAAGTCTACTGTTGTTATTATTATTATTATCTGATCAGCCGACAGTAAGGAAAAGTGAGCAGGATGCTTAGGCCTCTGGAGACTGTGGAGTGTGGGCCTAAGAACTATACTCTCCATAAATTTCCATAGCACCAGAGTATAAATATATTAAAATATTAGTATTTCTTAGCCCATAATGAAACATAGTTGTAAACTAACATAAACAAGAGTTATGCCTCAATTTCTGTTTCCCACAAAACCTGAGAGTGAAAAACAAAAATATAGCTGTTCAGAAGATTTTAACGGAACATGTTTGGTACACCTTTTATGGGAGATTATTTTGCAAAAAAAAATACTGCTACAGGAAAAGGCCTTGTGCTCTATATAAACAAACAGTAATTGGTTACAGACCCAACTTTGAGGTATACAATGCCACAAAAGACAGAATATTTGTGAAATGACATTACCATTTTCATTTAAAATGAGGAATAGTCAGCTTTAAAAACTATCGCTCTTGTAATTTTAAGCAGCATGAAGTAAAAACAAACAAGCAAAAATCCCTTTTAATACATATTGTAATATCATGGTAATCATGGATTTGAAACCTGGTGACTCCAATTTATTTTTACAAAATCTAAACAAATGCATGTCCTATCATATATTTCATATATCCTCTAGTACAATTCTAATATTATCTATTTTAAAGCATTTCAGGATTTCTACAGGATCTAACAACTCAAGTGCATTTTTATTTGTACATATCTGCATTGCTTCAAGAGAAGGAATAGCATTATAAATAGTAGAATTAACCATAGCATGTTTTTGAAAAGCAAACAAACTAGTTATGAAGGACAACTAAAATCTGGAAAGAGACGTGAAGAACAAAGGGATATCATATAATTATGTGGGTTCTGTTGTAAAAGCTACAAACCAAAAGGTATCCTGCCATATTGCTAACATAAAGTGAAGAATGAAAGATCTATATACTACTAAAATTGATTTCTATAAAACTTTAGCGGGGCAAAATAATGCACCATAAGGACAAAACCTTTTGAACCAAGGTACCTCAAATGAGCTAACTTATAGAATATGTTCAAAATTCAGTATTTATTATTACAACATTATCACAAAGCGGTTTATGACATAATACAAAATGGCATAAAACATTTCTTGTGCTGATGTTTGTGTTATACAGTTCAACATGACTATTTTCAAGGCAGATATATATCTGAAAGTATCCCAACTTTTCCAGTTGAAGAAAAAAGTACATTAGAAGCTCTATCATTATTCATTGAAAAAACTGGTACGGAAATATCTCTGAAAAAATGACCCAATAGGACAAGGGCTGTCTTGTATCATTTAATTCTGATTTAGTTTCTCTTTAGATGACAAAAAAATCCTCCCCTATCAGTGTTTGCCTTTGACTATGAAGTCCATTGTGTTAGTGGATGGACACATTTATGATACTTGGAAATCACATGTGAAAATAATATTGGAAGTGTCAGGCACCTTTACAGTACTATAACACTGTGCTACCTGGGTTACGGTGCTAACATCCCAAAAATTCATAAGAGGTAATTTTGGCTGGAGTACTAAGCAAATTCATTTAATCCCAGAACACATTTGCATAGAGAAAGTGCAATATTCTCCACACCAGTGAACTGCTTTTTGGGTATTTTTCCTCCTCTCAACAACGATATGTAAATACTGACTATTCTGTAATGTTCCAAGTGATATGTCTAAATGTTGCTTTTCATATCACATTGGGGTGCCAAAATTATTGCTAAAAATAATAGCAGTAAGGAACAATGGTGGCATAGGGAAGCTATATCAAAAATATCAGTATTCCCCTTAATTGTCATTGATGTCATAAAAAGAACAAAGGAAAGAAGAAACCTTTCTTCTCTGTTCTATCTGTACCTGAATAAATGAATTCTGGATGCAAGAACTGACATAAAGAAATTAAATGTCAGTCTACAATAGCTTCTTCTTGCCTCATCCTCCTCTTTTTGCCCCACAATTCTTCGTTATCTCCATGTTCACTCAGCAGTAAGTGGAGAATATACTCTAACATTAAAAAGGATTCAATGATGCACCCTAATCATTAATAATAACATATTCTCGTTCAAATATCAAAGACTAATCTGAAGCTCAACTGTTCCAGATTCAAGAAAATATACTTCCCCCAAGATTGATGAACTCTGCCACATTGAAAAGTAGGTTCTCTATTCACCCCAATATTACTGTTCCACAACAGTAACCCTAACCCTAAGCATCAAAAGATTTATTCTTGGGTAAAAGTGTAACTTTCACTTTGCCATTCATTTAAATCAGCAAGAAAGAAAGTTAATGAAAACATGAGAGTCACCCATTTTTTTTTTCTGGGCACCATTACAATTTGCTTTCTGACTCAAATAAACAGAGTTAATTCATCAGTTCTTTCAGACCTTAATATGGTAGCCAAAATATTTTACTAAGGAATACCTGAAATGCCCTGGCGTAAACTACCGCCAGCTGACCCTGATCATACAGCATCTTTTCAAAATGAGGGACCTGCCAACGTTGGTCAGTTGAGTAGCGATGAAACCCCTGCAGAAGAATTGGGGATGGGGGAGTGTAGAAAAATATTTTCATTATTTTTGCCATGTAAGAATTAGGATTCAATCTTCTACACAGACAGTACAAAACAAGAAGATGAATAATTTTGAGAGCTTACTGATCAGGCCAATTACTTCATTAGTCACCAAATGATCACAATCATTTGGTGGATAAGTGGCCTAATGGTAATACGGAGCTGTCAGTGCAAGTCAGTCTCATCACAATCTGCAATGATTTAACTCATACACAGAACATAAATATCTACTAGCCAATACATTGGATGGGAATAAAACAGTAAAAGCATAGTAAACATCGGATTTGGCAAACCACGATATGATGGCTGGCAATGCAGTAAAAGTTCCAGGAAACAAACTTCTTCATTTTTTGCTTATCTTTCTAGAATCTGTCACTTCAAAAAAAAATATTCTATTTCCAAATCAATCATCTAAAAGTCATTTCTCATAACAATTAAAATTCAGGACTGATGGAGCAATTGAAAAAGGGAATGGGAGAATAGGTTTTTTTTTAAAGGCTATCTTAGACAGGTTATTTCCTGAATTATACTGTGAAGCTATTTTTAAAGATCTCCATGGACAAAGTGAAGATTGCCATAGAAATCAATAGAGAAGATTTTAATATAAGTAGGGAGGAGCATATTAGTTCATTCACATGCTAAAATGATCTACTACAGGAGTCCTCAAAGTTTGGGATCAGCTATTAACAGTAAAGGAATCAACAGACAAGAAAGATGTCACAGGCTACCACTTGGTAGGTAGCAATGAAGGCATTTGAAGAGATATTTGGATGTCTCAACTTGTCTATTTCTACAAAATTCAGAAATGTTCAGACTTTTTTTTCCTATAATATTCTGAAGGATCAGTTTTTGAAGAGATCATCTTGGAAGAAGTTTGTGTATACTAAGGAAATATTTCAACTCAATCAATCAAAATTAAAAGGGGTGGGGGAGACTAGTGAGACCATCTTTAGACAGTTCCTCCTTTGCAATATCCTTCCAATTACAAACACCACCAAACCAGCTATTTAGCAAGCTATGTATGATATGATTACACTGGAAAGGGAGGATTGGTTAAACTCTTCATTCCCCATAAGAAAAAAACAAATGGGACTCAAGAAAGAGGATTCTATCAAAGTAAAATATGGAAAAAAATGCTTTTAAAAAACTGCATTTTGGAGTATTTTTAGAATGCAAAAGTGTGCCACAATTTTTAAGAATTATTAGATTCCAAAGGCAATTTTGTATTTGTTAATTAGACTTTTTATCTACCTTCTCAAAGTGGAAAGCAGATTTATGAAATCACAAATGTAAACTGGAAAGGGAAGGACAGGCAGACAAACAGTAGAGACTACTACCAGACCCTGACAAATATTATTTCTGAATTCTTTAATGAAAAGTTTCAAATTACGATTTTACCTGTGCAATATGATCATGAATACCACCATATGCCATCATCTTGAGTGTATGCAGGGCCATCTGAAGTGCTCGTGCTCCTTCAGTGTTTGACCGTTGAAGAGCCCAATAGGAGAAGAGAAAATTCAAATTAACTGGAATAAAAGAAAACAGTAAAGTAATGAACATTAGTCAGTTGTTTATGTAATAGTAGCTCTTCCTACAGAAATAGCTAGACAATCTTGAACTAACCTGGGGTAGGGAATTTGGGAGATTCTGAGAATCCACCATATTCTTCATCATAAGTCTCTGATAGTTGTTGGAAACATCGGGTTGTCACTTCTTTTAAGGAAGGGGGTGCTTCATCCCCTCGAACGCCAACATCAGTCCTAGCTAACAGTGCAGATAAGATTTTCTGGCTGTTTTCCAAAAGGGTACTTTTGTTCCGTTTCCACTGAGGAGTGGGGAGAAGATATCTAAGTCATAGTTTGCTGCTCTTTATCCATGCCTCATCTAGATAGTACATAACTTTTCAAGTTGCTTTAGAAAATGGTTTGACATCATAGATGCTACTTCTCACATATCCATTTAAAAATGAGATAGCAATGCATTAGGAGCAATCCAACTGAGTTTTTACATATACTTTATATGTTTGTTCCCACGTAAACTGAACCATTACAGTTATATGTCATAACTTGTTAGAATATTGTACGATCTCAACCTATAGTTCCTTCAATAAACACAGATTAAATGAGCTAATGTATAAGCCTAGTTAATGAGATGCTCTAAGTTACTGCATCATGAACATATAGAAAAAAATTCATTACATGAATTTTTAATCCACAAAATGTTTGCTGACATTTTTGTTAATGTATTACCTGCCTTCAGAGACATGCAACATTATGTAAAATATTTAAAATATTTTGTTTTAACCAAAATGGATTTCTATCCATGGAATATTTTCCGTTAAAAAGTTCTATCTATAACTCAGTTTCTCTCCTTAAATCCTGTTGTCCCTGGGCTTAAGCTAAAATTTCTCATTCATTACATTTTCTCTTATAAGCCCTTTTGAGTAAAAGCTCAAAATTGGCACTATCATGTGGCTTAATCTCTCATGTGTTATTCCAACAACACATTCATCTTATTACAATTGCGGATACTGAATCCCATACCTGCTCTAGGATGCGAAGCAGAACAGTCCGAAAGCCAACCTGATAAATTCCATCTTCAGGTGGGAAATAAGTTCCACCTACAAATGGTTTGAGATCAGGAGTCAACCATACACTCATTGGCCAACCACCTCCGCTGCTGGTTGCCTGCAGTGAAACAGAATGAGATGGATTAGATTCCTTTCATATATGTTTTGGAAATAACCAAGTTTTCTCTACGTTCTAACTCCCCACCTGCACAAAGGTCATGTAAACTTTATCAACATCTGGACGTTCTTCACGATCCACCTTGATGCACACAAAATTCTCATTCAAAATCTGACCAATTTCTTCATTCTGAAAGGATTCTTGTTCCATAACATGACACCAGTGGCAAGTTGAATAGCCAACTGAAAAAAGTATCAATTAAAAAAAATTACTTATGAAAAAATTGATTAACCATAGCTTCCAAAGTGTTGGTTTTAAGTCCACGGGATGGGGACAGAATGGGAGTGTAAGAAGAGATTCACGCACAATCTCCCTCAGCACATTTAAAAGATTGAGCAAAACAAGAACAAGAACTGCAGATCAAACAAGAATTGCTCCAATAAGCAACGTTAGTGATTCTAACCCCATATATGTTTTCAAAAAATGAGAAAATATTATTCCTAAGAAGTAATAATACTAGCATAATAGTAAAAGATTGCTGAATAAATGTGATTTGAATATTTAAGAAAAAACTATGACAGTGAAGTTTTGTAAAAAGATTTTGAAAATTGTACAACCAGGAAAAGCAATCTGGAAATACCATTAATGATAATGCTGAATGTTTCCTTGTTTGCTACATGTAACCTCAATTAAATATTATCATTTGTGGGATTGAGGAAACATGCCTTCTCTGTCACCGTTGCTGCCCTCCAAACAGCATTCCCTTTCCCAGAGATACAGGTGGTGCCCACTCTACTGCTGTTCCAGAAAAAACTTGCTCCCAGGCCCAGAGTTCATATACTGGTATTGAGGGGGGTGGGGTTGGCACATTATAGAAGCAATCTGTATATAAAGAAACATATTTTTTAGAACAAAAAAAGAAAGATGGGCTTCGCATTTTCCCTCAGAAAAAAAAAAGATTAAAAAAAAATATTGAGCAGTTGAAGATCTGCTTTGAACAACATTTATTCCTTTATTCACAAGTTTATTCACTTGGATTTCAAACTGCTCTCAAAGGTATAGTATTGTTTTTATCTGTAAGCTCAAAGGCGCATATCATACATTCATTTTTACCTGACAGAAATATTAACTTGTCCTCTCGCTTTGCCTTATCAAAGGCTTCCTGGCCCCATGGATACCTGAGGAAAATTGAGGAAAGAAAGAAGCTGGATTTTTTTATAGTGTTTCCTTAGTAATATACCTATACCTAAATGTAGGTAAGTGGCTACTGCATTTTCTAACTACTTGAAAAGCATGTTGATATAAGACAGCATTCTCTGTCAAGCAGAAGAAACCATGTACATTCTAAAAAGTGCTGCCTAAATTATTTGCACAGGAAATAACATACAAGATCTGAAACTATGCCAAAGTAACTCTCCTGGCTGGTCTCCAGTCTGAAAGGGAGTGGGAACAGAGTAATTTAGCATAGGTTAGGTGTCAAGTGTATACTTAATTAGAATTTGATTTCATTGCTGCTGCTGATTTTAAGTATCCATGAAACAATTTTAATTAAAAGTAGCTTGCTGTGTAGTGAACAATCAGTGTGTTCTGGCCAGTCAGGTGTTGGACTGGGATTGGGCAGACCCATACTTAGATCCATCTTCATGAAAATTCACAGAATAATTTCAAGCCAAACACTCTCTTCACCTAATCTACTTTGTACGGGAGCTGTTGTGAAGATGGAATTAAAATGAGACCTGAATGTTAGCTATCCTAAGCTGTTGAAAGAAAAGTAGACTATGCATCTAATTGATACACAGTGGGAAACATCCTATTGATGATGAGCATTCAATGAGCATTCTTGGAAGATAGGTTTAGAGAATTAGATTTCAGGATTCTAATCTCATATTAAAAATTAGCTTTTAAAAAAATGTTTTACATCCACTCTATTCCAACTACTTTATCATTGAACAAAACAGTCACTGTTAACTACATAATTCACATCATTCAAGAGAAGTTGCAAAGATCATTGGTTGCTGCTGTCTCATTTAGATAAAATTATCTTGTGCAGCAATGCCTTTGTTACTTTCATTCTGCCATGTTACTTTCAGACACAGAAATCTGGTTGTAAGTAAATGCATGGATCACAAAATAAATTGTGTACTACTATTTATTACTATCTTACTTGCACAAAAGATTGCTAACCAAGATAGCCCCAAAGCAAGGAGCATTGTATTAAAGAAAACAATTACTATATGATACTATATCAGCGAGACAGTATAATATAAATGTAAATTTATTCTAGAAAGAAAGGGAAAAACATCAAAACCTTAAGACAAGAATATCAGAAGCAAAACAATTTCAAAAACGTTGACAATTCAAAAATCTTCTCCTTGTTCTTCTGTCAAAAAAATTCAACAACATCCTAATTCAAATGTTAACAAAGGACACCTGTTATATATATATATATATGATCTTCAAGTTTTAGAGAATAAAAGATATCTAAAATCAATCACAGAGATGTCTCAGCTTTTCAGTCAGGTTAAATGTTTTAGATTTTACCTCAAGATACAGATCAAGGCAGTCAGTCACAGTCCATTTTTTCCAATAAGATTGACCCCAAATAGTCACAATGGGCAACTTTTTAAAAATTTAAGATTAACTGTAACCCAATACAACATAAAACATTTAAAATGAAAGAAACAACTAAAACAACTTTCTGAATAAGATGTTTTAATATTCCTTTTGTTCTTTACCAAAATACATTTCAAATTCAGAGCTGAAAAGGAAAAGAAGTATATTGGCCCTTCCATAAAGGTGCTGCAAGTTTTCTTGGGTTCAATCTTGGAAAAGACTTATGAATTAAGGAGATGCTGACACCTCCTCATACCCAGCACTTGTCAGCTCTTAGCTCATTATCCAAGGCAGAGCTCAGTCACTGTCCCTAATCACCATCTGTCCAACCTTCAGCAATTTTGAGTCCTAGCACTTAATAATAGGGCTTAGGCAGTCTCATATAATCTCTTAATATGCGGAACAGAATAAAATAAAAAATAGGCGAGGAGAAGGAGGAAGAGGAAATCCAAATCTCAATGATAGCGGAGAATTGGTGAGTGAGTGAGACAAAGGTAACAAGAAAGAAGTATAAACAGGTATGATTATATTAACCTGAAATTTATCTCCTTTGCAGATGAGCCAGAAGAGCTCAGAAACAAGCTACAAACAGGAAATCAGAAACAAAAGAGAAATTAACCTTAGGATCTGGATTTGAAAGTTGAGAGAGTAGGGGCGTGCATAAGTGCACCAGCGTGCCTAACATGCCTTCCTACTATACCCATTTATTTATACTCATTTCCTGTGTTGTTATTCATGTTTATTCTTATTCCTGTTATTTTGTACATGAATGACAAAGTAAGTAAGTAAGTAAGTAAGTAAGTAAGTAAGTAAGTAAGTAAGTAATAGATAGATAGATAGATAGATAGATAGATAGATAGATAGATAGATAGATAGATAGATAGATAGATA